TCTAGAAAACTGGAAACCGATATTGATAACCAAAGAAGTCTAATAAATAATTTCACATTAACACAGGCATAGAGGATATCCTCTAGTACATATGTACTAAAAAAACAAATGCGGAATTTACTTACCTGTGAGTCTTCTTGATTTTCGCTGTTTTTACAGCAGCAAAAGTTTCCCATTGAACTAATAAACCGAAGAGTCATTCGATGTTTGAGAGAACACCGTGGAAAAGCAAAACATGAATTGCGTACAGGGTTTATTTAAAAACTGAAAGAAAACAAAACAGATGTAGGACTCGACATAGGTGTAATCAGTGGCCATATCTATAATTGAAATATAAATTATGAAAATTAAAAATAATGCAAACTTTTGGAATTCCCAGTCCCTGTTATCCAGAGGGCACACCTGGCGCGTCTTCAGCCAACGCGAAATACAATGAAAGTGGAAGGCGTGCTAAAAAGCAGTATGTAAAACAATATCGATTACGTTGCAATGACCCCAAGCGACAGTGCACTCCTCCGTATTTTCTGATGCGTGATTTGCTTGGCATTCGATACCTACAGAATGAGACAGGACGCAACGAGATGAATACATAGATCCATGATGTGGTTGCGACATATAGCGCAATTATCTACTACGATATCCCATGCCCAAAGAGCGACCGCATTCCACTTCTTGATCTCAAATCGTTTCGATCCTGTCGCCGCTACAGCCTGGACAGGAGTCTCATCAACATCCATTGCAGACATGTTCGTTCAGATAAACACGATTTCCAACCTACCGCTTTTCGCAGAGTGAGGTTGGAGTTAGTTAAATAGGCTACGATCAGGTCGATGGCCATGTCGATGTTCGAATGTAAATATGGCTGTAGTCTCTAACCCCCGGCCTCTAGCATCCCTTCTGGGTGTGCTAAGTGTGTTGCACGTGAAGCCGAACTAACGAGTTTATCGACCAAATTGTTAGATATATCCATATTAGTACCCTTTTTTATTAAGTGTACTTTAGGCCGGTCTGGACTTGTAGTCGTTTTTATTTGGCCTTCTGCACGCTAGTGAACTGAAGAAAATAGAATTGGTCTAGCATTTTTACTAAGGGGATTTTCTATTCAGAACACCGCACGTTAGCAT